ACCAGGTAGGAAACTAAACTATGGCAAATATCTCAGCAAGAGACAATGATGCCTTAGACCAGAGCTACAGCAGTGGACATGGGGAGAAGTAGTCCAGACTGTGAAGGAAGAACAACAGGTTTGCTTAGGTTTGGGTCAGGGATGATTCTGATGTTTTTGGCCTGAACAACTAGAAGGATGGTGCTGCCATCTATTAAGTGGGGATGGCAACAGGAGCAGCAGGTTATGGTAAAGGTGGAAGTGGGAATCAAGACCAGCCCTTAAGTCCCAAAGGGAAAGCGACTCCTCTGAGAAGCCTTACCACAGCAAGGTGAAAGCACTCACCTGCTCGGAATGCCGGCCCCTCCCTTCCTCTCTTTCTTACACATGCACACAGAGCACTTCTCTGCACCAGAATTATCGTATCCATACATTATTCCCTTGGACAACCCAAGACTGATTCATTTTATATCATCTGGAAACATCTGCACACAGTAGATGCTGAACAAATAGTTTTAGTGATATGCTACATAGAATTGCACCTATGATGTTTTAATAGTCTAGCAAGGCAAGAATGTTCTTTCAAAACATGTAAAAATTATGCTTAGCACTGATTAAATATTAAGTGGTAATAATTCCATCTCAAGGGTCCTTTATATAGATGCTGACTGCCCCCAGTTATTCAAATTGTCAACGCAAGCTCTCCTGTGGAAAGGCCAACCTAGGAAGATGGGTGTTACCTTGCCAGTCCTGATGTCCCAAGCTTTCATTTCACAGCTGAAGCCTCCACATAAAAATACATTGTGGTCCTTTGGATAAAATTTCAAGGTAGTGATTCTAAAGTCACTTTGACCACTGAATAGCTGGGTTCCTGCAACACAAAAAGAGAAGAGAGGGTTAGAAAATACTTAGATCACAAAGTAAGTATCTTGAAACTAAGATGCCATCTGGTATGGAGCTGATGGGCAAACACAGCTCATCTGTGCCTGATGCTGTCCAATGGAGACTTTCTGGAAATACCACAGAGGCAGGAGCAAAATTTGCCTTCCTTCTCTGGCCAGCCCCACCTTGACTGGCACAACTCCCCCTGGCTAAGCCACATGGCTGGATCAGTGAATGACACCTGTCATGTTTTCTGTAAGCATTACACAGATTAATTCACTTAAACTGCATGCTGACCCTACGCCCATGTTAGAGATGAAAACAAGGCTGAGGGAGATCAAGTAAAATTTCCAAGGCTTCACAGTTAAAACAGCAGATTATTTACCTGGAAGTCTAAAAAACCAAAAACAGGATTGCTTCAAGGTGATCTTTTTTCAGGATGAGCTATCTTACAACTATGCCCTTATATTAATGGATGAATGGTTTGCTATAGGGCATGGCGGGTGTAGGGGCCCTGATACACTAGGTGATAGATGAGAGTAGCCATCACAGTGGTCCAAGCCACTGAACAGAAAAGGGAGTGTAGAGCATCAGGAGTCTCACTGGCTGTACAGAAATCCAGACAATCTTTGTCCTTTATATATCTACCATAAAACTGTTGTCAAGCATTTACATGCATTGTGTAAACGTTTGTGTGCACAAATATATACATGCTTGTAGGGTGCGGAAACTGTTTTTTTTTTTTTGTCACTATGATTTTTCAGAGGTAAGCTATGTAAACTTCAGCAGTGTCCCTCGTTTGGGGCAGATCAAAGCCAGTGCTCCTCCCACTACCCAGTGCTGCCTCTGTGTCCCAGAACACTGACTGGAATTCTCACCTGTTCACACTTAACCTGCTTGAACCTGCATCAACTCTGAGTGCTGCCCCTGCACATATCCCCCAGGGGCCGGGCCCACACACCAGGCATGGTGCCTGCTACTCACTGCAGCAGCCAGAAACATGGAGGAGGCTTCCCTCAGAGATGTCCCAAGGGTTCCCATAGCCCAGGAGGGAAAACCTTGACTGCCTTTCGCCCACAGAAACTTCTCCACTGGACTGAGGCAGTGGGCTGTTTAGGGATACAAGAAGCTGGTGGCTAAGAAGGAGACCAAGCATAATATGCCATTTATTAAGAGTATCAATGAACCTCTTGAAATCACTAAAAATCATGTGAGTTATCCTATTTTTAGTAAGAGCAACAGAATTGAATATGCTTCCTTTTTTTTTTCTTTAATTTAGTGAACTTTCTGTGATTCAGTGATTCAAAAGTTGCCTGGTTGAGGCTTCAGTTTTTCCCATGAACTCTGTCAGAGCCAAGAAAGTTTCCTCCCAGAGATGCACGGACCTGGATGGAAGATGTTGGACACACAGGAGACATTTTCCACTTCCACCCGTCAGTTATGTAAAGGATTTTGTGAACATTTTACTAGTAAAGCTCCATTTTCCCTAATGTCAAATACGGCTCCTGCAACTAATCAGAAGGTATTATTACATTCTCTCATTTTTAATAACCCAGGTCAAAATCAACTGAAATTTTCACTTAAAGGATTTTAAAACAGATTAGAAAAACACTGTTCTCAAGGTAAGGGTGAAGATATTAGAGTTTTTAATAAGCGAGACACATTGTTTTGGGCAACAAAAATCACATAACAGTGGGAACAATTAAAAACTTCTGTTTTCAAAATGTTCTCTCCATAGTACAAATGTTTTAGCAAGCAAGTATTCTCTCATTCTTTGTTACTGTCACTTTTACATTGATGGATGGTTAACTGTGCTGACTTTAAAAAAAAATATCTTGTAGGGGCCTAAATTGGCAGTCACTTGTCATCAGAGAAAATTTTGGAAATACTTGCCTTTTTGTAAATGAAGAATCTATACCTCTTTAAGCTCCACAAGCCCCTTAGCTATTTTGCTACAAGATGCAATGCATGTAGCACAAAAGATTTCCAGGCCTTCCTATGTCATCACAATGCTGTCAAGAGCCATCCACTACAGTTCACATAATCCACGATGGCGAAGGGACTGTAAACTGCCCCAAGAGGAGCATTATGGCAAATAAAGTTCTCTGCCCTACCAAATGTTGAAAAGCCATTTAAAACTGGAATTACAGGATGGGCAAAGCTGGATAGCTGGTTCTTTAATTATAAGAATATTAAATAGGAATTGATGTGGACAAAGACTGAGAAGAGATTCATCGAAATAAAATGAATTCTAGAGGTAGTAAGATAACTTTTTAAATTATACCAATATTTTTGTCAAAATACTGTTTTCCTATAATTTTTCTTAAGAAGTCATCAGGGAGATTCGCAGGCTTGTGAGTAGTCTTGGTTCTATCTCCCTCTCTCATTAGGTCAGCAAATAACACTCTCAAGTAAACAAACAAAAAAAATCACTTCTCGGTGAATTAATCTAATTGAAAATCTTGTATTTCTCCAATTTACTCTTCTTTTTCTTTCCTGAAACTCATCTGGGACCCAAGCTCTTCCTTGCCTTTTAAGCTACAGTTGGTGATCAGAAACTATGACATGCCTACTGAGCAAGTCCCCCAACCTGGGGAGAATGGGGAGGAGGCTGCCTCCCTTGGTCCCCACGTGACCTGGCCAGAGACTCAGAGCAGCACTGTGGCAGACCTCAGGAAGTTTCTCAGCCAAGTGGCTGGGGGCTCATCTAGAGGCTGAGGGTGGGGACCACTATCACCTTCCCTCAACAGAAAAGGAGGGCACAGATGCCACTGCAGCCCCCACTCCAAGAAGGTCCAGACAGGCCACAAGTCTTCTCTCCCAGGGGAGACAACTGTGTCTATTGCTGAGAACATGCAGTGGCTGGCTTGTTCAATTGGAATTCACCACCAATCCTGGAGAAAACTTTTTCCTTGTTTTTGGACCAAAGCATATAACCATATGCTTAATTTCAGAAATGGCAGTGAATTATCCATTTTTTTTTTCAAAAATGCAGTGGTACAGTCTTGCCAATAACAGGAAGAAAGATGAGAGGAAAGGTGAAAGTTGAAAAAGACAACTAAAAGACGATTAAACTTTTTTTGCTATAAAAAAATGTATTTCTGAATGTTGCTTTTCCTCAACACCCTAAAGAGACTGGGAATCTGTCTTTTAAGTACTAAAACTTCCCAACTGGAAGATGAGCTATAGTATATGTATTCTTCCTACTTTTACTTATAATATCTAGGCATTTACTATTTTTCTTTGTTCAAGAATCCAAAACTAAAAGATTTTTATATTTTTTAATAAGCTTCCACATACCTAATGAAAACACTAAGGGAAAAATTCTGCTAAGTAAGAAGGTCTCAGACAAGACTTGGGTTCAGAAATCAGGACCCTAGCCCTCATCATCTGGCATGACACTTGAAGTGGGAGGAGTTAAGAGCCACACAGAGCCAGGTCCCACCCCAGCTCTGTCACTTCCAGCAGAGGACCTTGGGCAAGTCCCCTCCCTGTTGTGTCTCATGCCCTCATAAATGTAAGGCTGTCGTGGGAGCTAAATGCAATGTGGTACAAAAGCATTCTGTAGAGCATGGCCAACAGCACATAATGGAAAGCTATTATGGTTTGAAAATTAGACCCCAAATAATCAAACTCATCCTTGGTTAAATTAAAAGTTAAAACCAAGGGATACAGTTATTAACAGCAAGAGACTTGAGAAATTAATGATTTTTGAGCTTTTGTCATAAAGCTTTGGGAACACAATGCCCTGGGCTGGTCTTTACACTTGTTAAAGAGATATGGATAAAGGCTGGAAAATATCTTTCAGTGAAACATCTTTTTTTTTTTTTTCCTTTTTGTCTTTTTTACGTGACCGGCAACGGGATCCCAACCCTCGGTGTTGCGCCCGCAGCTCACTCAGCCAGTGAGCGGCCAGTCTGTATGTGGGATCCGAACCCGCGGCGGGAGCGCCACTGTGCTCCCAACCACCGGGCTGGCCCCTCAGTGAAACATCTTGAACATGAACATTAGCCATGCTGAAGAAGAAGGTCTTTTCTTGTCAGATTTATTCTTACTCTCTATCTTTTCATAAGGTGAGTAACTTGTTTATCATCCCCTCTCCTGGGCCATAGGACTTTAAGCACAACAGTTAGTCATTATGTAATCTTTAACCTTGAGAATATCTTGCTTGTTTACCTGTTTGTTGTAGAAAAGTCTCTTTATTCACTGTATGCTTATTATAGGAAACTGAATTTTAAAATATTTAATCCAGTGACACAGACTTTATTGATCTCATTATAATGAGCTCAACCAGTATAAATACTGTTAGGATTTCCTTGGAGTTAGGAAAAATCATCTCTTTCCTCCTTGAATCAATAATGATACAAATAAAAAATAAATTATCACTAAAGCAAAAACATGTTTAAAACACAGTGCCGAAACTCAGCTTGTTCTCTTGACAATATTATTACGACCAATGCTTCCCATCCCCAATATTACTGTGTCATGACACCTGGTAACACTGGACAGGTAACTCCTTAGAGCTGCCACTCCTCCTTTCTCAGGTGGAGACAGCAAGCTCCCGTGAGATGACCACTCATGTGGCCAGGGCAGCACTGCCTGGTATTTGATTCAGGTCCAGTGAAATGCAAGTATGGGTCCCCAAGAAAAAGAAGGGAAGTTCCCTCCAGGGTGCTCAGAGGCTGCTTTGGCCAAGTAACTCACAGTCTGGGAGGGGCAGATGACATTTATCATAAGCCTGTTACCTCCAGGCCTGTCTGAGCTTGCTCGTGTCACCCCAAGACACAGGTGGTAAGAATAATTAACCCATTTCTCACAGCTGGGGACATGGAAGCTCCGTGAGGTCAGACCCCCCCCCCCCAAGGCCACACGAATGAGCCACACTGAGACAGATGGAACGTGTCAGAGCCCAGCTCTCTGCACCCCACCTTGCATACCCACCAGTTTCATGACCTTTCCTTCTCCTTAGCTCTTTGTTCACATCCACAGACTCACGACCATGTAGGAAAAATGTTGACAAGGGAAAGCTTATGCTGTTGGCTGGTGGCAATTGAGCTTGTGTTCCCAGGCAGTAGGCATATGACTCATTTTGCTAAAATCAATATTGTTACACTCATCCTCTGGGAAGTATTCAGCCAGCAGTAAACTTAACCATCCTGACTCACAGTTAACAAGAAAAGGAGCTTACTAACTTTCAAATCAAACTCTATGTATCAGAAATAGGGGCCACGTTGGCACGCTGGGCAGAGGCCTGGGAGGGCTGTAGGCTGAGAGCATGTTCCCTGTCAGCTGGGGGCCTCTGGTTCGACCAGGAATCCTCGCAGAGCCTGGTATCCTCATCTGTAAAACTGGGATCATAAAAAATATTTTAAAAGGTTGTTGTGAGAATAAAAAATAATATATGTAAGAGTAAGTCCCAGACAAATGATAGGGCCCAGTAAAGAGTAGCTGTAGCAGCAGTAATAGTAATAACAGAGGAAATGGTAGTCATTGCAGTCTTTTTTTTTTTAAATACCAAGCTCAGCCACAGCTTTTAATATCTGAATTTTCCAAAATTGAAAAAAAAAGAGAGAGTTCTAAAATTGCCAACAGGGTACGCTCCAACGGTTTACTTGTAAGTTGGTTTTCTGGAACTCAGAACTCACTGTTCAACAGCAAACATGTGGTAACTGTGTTTAGGCTCCAGAGTCAGTGGATTAAGGTGGCCTTACCCAAGGAAGGAGTCACACTGTGATGCAATAGCAACTGAACACACACAGACACAGCATCACCGCTGGACACTGATGGCGATGAATAAAGTAATAGTGTGGGTTAAAAACCACGTCTTATTTATCCTGAAGGCTGGCATGAGCTTAGTCAGAAGAGGGCATCAAGATAGAGGTTTATGGAAATGCAGAAGGGCTCAAGATACTTTCCAAATTGCTAGATAAGGGGCTGGCATGGTGTTTTAATGACATTTAATAGCATACGACTTCATATTCATATCTAGCAGCAGTTTCTCACCCTTTTTTGAGGACCTACCATGTGCCACGCATTCTGCAAAGCACCTCTGTGTACATCACTGTAGCTATTCCCCACTATTGCCCCCAGCCGGGCACTGATGCAGATGTGGAGGCGAAGTACCACTCCCAGGTGCCCACTCAAGCAGGGAAAGAGCCGCATCTCCACCTACCCCTGCCCCTTCTCACACAGTCCTGTCTCCAACTGGAGCCAGGTGGCATTGCACAGGTGACCTGGACATAACAGGAGAGCTATCCCATGCACAGGAAGGACAAGGTGACCTGCCTGGCCAGGTCCCTGGGGGCTCCAGGGAGAGGAATCTCCTTTGCAGGCCACACATGCAAAGTGCAGAGGCCCTGCGTATCCCGCCACAGCAGTCTTAACAGCCAGCTCTTGATGGGGGACTGCCTGGGGGGCTGGGATTCACAAGAAACATGACCACGACTGATTAGAGCTGAACAAGCTCTACGGGGGATTTGAGGAGATGGGCTGATTCGGTATGCAGCCTGACTCATAAAGCTGGTGACACTCAGGGCCCTGGTGGAGCCGGTCATCATTCCCTGAGGCAGCCTCTGCCTAACGACACAACAGAGGCATCAGGAAAGGAAGATTACAGACTGAAATAGGAGCACCAAAAATAATTAATCTGAGAGCAGATTTTATTTAAGTGTTGATTCATGGTTGTTCTATAAGCCAACAGCCTGTCAGAAATATAAATTAACGACAAAAAATGTTGCTGGCCCTCCATATTTCAGGCCAAGTATTGACATTTTAGAATCCACAGATTTTTAACTGTATTGATTGAGGACACCAGGATAAATGGCCTTGGTGCCAAATTCCCATTAATGACAATGGGCACCGAGTGACTAATTCCCAATGCCCTGCATTGCCTTCTCCTGCCAGTGAGCTCTAATTAAATTGAAATGAAAAAGCCAAATTACCAAGGGTGGAAAAAGGCAGACTGAGAAAAAAGGAGATCGGACTTGGTGAAGGGAAAGGATGAGACAAGTCAATTCAGGACAAAAGCCACAGGAGCTGCACAAGCCCACCCCAATCTCAGCCTAAGAGAGCACCCAACAAAATTTAGGTTGGGGAGGTGGGCAGAGATGAGGTGGGAGACGTGGGTGGAGCCCTTCCCACCCCAATAGCCCTGATGGGCTTCACTGCCCAAAGTAGGAGGGTCCAGCAAGGGTCAGCTTCAGCTCTGTCTCATTCACACATGCCCTGAGCAGCTGCCCTGGCCAGATGATGGAGACACAAAGACCACCAGGACAAGCCCCCATCATCAAGGAGCTCCCACACTATCCTGAGAGAGGGACACAGACACCAACAGCCACCATCAACAGAAGAGGCCCTGTCCAAATCCCTCAATCATAACCTCCCAGGGATAAAGGATGTCCAACACGCTCTCCACTACAGCCCCAGCACCAGGTCCTGCTCATAGTAGGTGTACAATAAATAATTGCTGAGTGGACGAAACTGGACCTTCCACAGATGAACTCAGTGCAGAAGTCCTCAATTGCCTCCCCAGCTGGATGGCAACACCCTGGGGGTCAGGGCCTTGCCTTTCTGTACACAACCAATATGCCACAGCTGGAGGGGCATGCAGAGCCCAGGGCAGTTTTACCACCAACTGGGCAAGGCATCCCACTTCCCCTCCTCCAACTCTCCACACGGGCACAAGTGAGTCACACGGACAAGCTGCAGCTCACAGGGAGGCCGGCCCAAAGCACAGACCAAGCCAGGATTCCCGCCTGCTCCAAACTCAGCAGAGGCCCCCTTCTGCCACCTACTGTGGCATTCCTCACTTTTCAGGCAGGAGGACCCTCTCTGAATGTTTAAAAATTTCAGAACTCCCCCAACACCCCAACCCACACCCACACACAGACAAAATGGCATGTGGTTGTCTAACATCTGCTGATTGAGAAAACAGATGATGACAAAGGGCCACTATAAATCCATTAATGTTATCAAATGAATTTGATTTGAGTAAACCAACAGCATCACCCACATCTGAAAAGCGATGACACAGGTGTCAGTGAGCTTGCTTGCCACTCCATGGGCAGTGCCATACCCACGTGTGCTCACAGGACCCACACACTCAGGTGGGTGCTCCCCTCTGGGAGTTGAAAGAAGCTGGGTTAGGAGTTGGGTGGCATAGCTTTGAATCCCAGCACCACCACTCCCTGGCTCTGTCCTCACCTGTAAACCCCGGACAGAACCCTGGTCAGGGGCTGCAGCTGCAGTACATGCTAACAGCACCTGCTGCATAGGGAGCGCTCAGTGAGGGAAAATTCCTTCCTCTGACTTCCCTGTCCTTCTCACCCTGCTTGTCAAGAGCCCCCTTAGGATTTATCCAGCATGAATCCATCTTACCCAAATGACTTTTCAGTGCGGGCATTAAAGCAGAACTCGTTTGAAGACTTTCCTTATGAGTTGGAATCATTCCTTTCAGCCCTTTGACGATAATGAATTGACAGGAATTCTAAACTGATTCCAACCAAAGGACACTGCGATAAAGTTAAATCTATTTCAGTACAAACTGCATGTCAGAAGTTGATTAAAAAACCACCTCTTTATCCAGCCCCACAGCTTGGGGTTAGACAAACCTAGGGTTCTGTCCTTTGCTCTGGCTGGCAGAGGTTCACCTCCAACTCTCTGTGGGGAATTGCAGTTCCAATAGACAGTCTAGAAACAGCGAGCATGAACCTGTCCTAAGGTCCTTCTCCCACTTTCCTGCAACCCTATGCAGCTTTTAGCAGCATACCTACCAAAGAATCTTCCCCAGCAAGAAAGTTTCCAGCTCATTTCAGGTAATGATACAGAAAAACGGACCTCTTTCGAGGTCTGTCAGGTGCAGAGCGAAGTCAAAGCCACCACTGAGGATGCGCCGGCCACAAGGAGACCACTGGGCAGCCCGCACTGCCTCATTGTGCAGGGAATAGGTCTGCAAGCAAAAACAGACAGTGCCAGGTGTCATAATGGGGCCCTGATCTCCAGGGCTCAGCTTGGCTCCTCTGCTGGGAAGGGTTCTCACAGTGGAATTAAATTCCCATTATTTTACCACCAAAATGAAATGTGGGTGTTAAACTTTTTTTTTTTGCAGAAATGTAAAGGCTTGGGGATGTTAGTTGGAGGAGTGGGCTTTTGCCAAATCTTTTTCTGGGGTTAAGAAAACAGCATTTCCTGTGTCTGGCACTCACCTACCCTGCCTTCACACCTGCTTCATACCTCCTGGCCATGAAGGAGTCCTGACCCTCCGTACTCACAGTACTATCCCAGTCTCACCTGTATCCCTGTCTTCTGGCCTGTAGTAGACACTGCACAAGGCTGGGCTATATTCATGGGTTCTGTTTTAAGACTGACATACAAAAAGGAGCTTGTCCCACCAACATTTACAACGGGGCAAAGAGCAAACATCTGCTTTAGGGGTAGCCACCGTTTTTTGGGAGAGAGAAGGTACTGTCCCTCATTCCCACACTGGCTTTCCATGAGGGAATGAGAGTCAGGGGATAAAGCCCCATGTACACTTAATGACTTCTGGAAAATGATTTAAGACCCAACTATGGAACTACACATTCCAAAGGCCAGGGCCACCATGTGCATGAGAGCTTTTCACCAGCTCTCCCAGCAAACTCCACCAATGACCATGCAGCCCGGCGGAAAGGGCAGAGAGCTCAGAATCTGATGGGGCTGGCCCAGGGCCTGGCACACAGAGTGCTCAGCAGTGCTAGTCCCCTACCCTCACTGTCACTACAAGATGAAAGAGATGCCCTCACTTACCACCCCACTCCCCTCAGGCCACCACCCCTGTCGCTCAGAGGACTCAAACTGAGAAACAGGAAGAGCCCCTGCAACCAGTACATGGGAGTCAGAGCTAAGCACCTCCCACCTGACACTACTGCTTGGCGGTCATGTGACTTGGCTGAGTGGCTTCACCTGTCTGGGCCTCAGTCTCCTCTATAAAGTGGGGGTAAGATGAGCATTGCCCCAAGGGCAGTAGTGAGGACTAAGGAGTTAATATCTGCATAGCGTGCAGCACCATGGCTGGCACAGAGCAGATTCCCTGACCTCCTTTCAACTACATCAGAAAAACCAGGTTTCATTTTCCTTAATAAGAGAAAAATCCAAACAAACTATACCAACGTACTTCCACGAATCTGATTCTAGAGATAACCTTCCCATTAAAGATGAGAAAATTCAACCTGCTAAGTCCTGAAGGTTCTCAAAATGCAAGTGATCTGAGTTCTGAAAGCATGTTTCCTGGGAATACGCAAATACCTACATTCAAGAAAATAAGAGGTCCAAGTAGGCTTCAAAGAGTGTTAAGAGAGCTCAGTTCCTTTCTTCCTTAGTAGGGGTCAATAGCTAGGATCTCAAACTGAAAAAATCATGAAACAGCAGTATTTACATTTAGAAATGCGCTCAGATATAAGAGAAGAAACAGCCAGAAGACTTCAAAATGGAGTGAGAATTAATGGAAGGGAGGCAGAGTGCAGGGAACTGCTGTTTTTTCAAAGCTATGTGCAAGTATGACTTTAACAGAAAAAATAAAGTAAAATGATGAACTAGGTCTACAAGGTTAAGAAGGTGTTATACAGTAAAAAATTAATATTGAGTACATAAGACTAAGTATGACGCCATCTAAGTTTTAAGAACTCATGAAACACTACTTCACACCTATGGCTACTATCAAAAAACCCCAAAATGTAACAAGTGTTGATAAGGATGTGTAGAAATTGGAACACATGTATACAGCTGGTGGGAACATAAAATGGAATAGCATGGTGGTTACTCAAAAAATTAAACATACAATTAACATATGATCCACAATTTGACTTCTGGGTATATGTCCAAAAAATCGAAATGAGGATCTCAAAGAGATATTATACACCCACATTCTTAGCGGCATTATTTATCATAGCCAAAAGGTAGAAGCAGCCAAGTGTGCATGGGCCAGTGAATGGATAAACAAAATGTGGTTTATCCATACAATGGAATAATATTCAACCTTAAAAAGGAAGTAAATCCTGACACATGCTATAATGTAGATGAAACCTCAAGACATTATGCTAAAGGAAATAAGCCAGACAGAAAAGGTCAAATACTGTATGACTCTACTTATATTTGGTACCCTGAGTAGTCAAAATCATAGGGAAAAAAATTAGAATGATGGTTGCCAGGGGCTGAGGGAGGGGGAAACGGGGAGTAGTTGTTTGATGGGTACAGAGTTCCGGTTTTGCACGGTGAAAAGTTTTCCAGAGATGGATGGTGGTGATGGTTGCACAACATTATGCATGTACTTAATGCCACTTAAAAAGGTGGTTAAAATGGTAAATTTTGTGTGTATTTCACCACAACTTAAAAAAAATACACAAAAAACCCAAAAGCTTATCTTATCGATTCATGCATTTGTAGTAAGCCTGTACAAACATGCATGGGGATGGTCGTCCCTCCTGGGGATAGAGGGGGTGGGGTAGGGCTGGAAGAAGGAAGCTGTGCACACTAAGCAGTATCTCCTGGGGGGGGGGATGTGAAGGAGAGAAGGAAAGAAAGAGGGGGAGAGGGGGAGAGGGAGAGTGTTCTGAAGCACATATGCCCAAATGTTTCCATCTAGGGAGTTCATTCATTTATTTCTTCATTCAACAAGTATTTTCTGAGTACCTGCTATATGGCAGGCATTGTTCAACAGTAAACAAACATGCCAAAAACAAACAAACAAACAAACAAACAAACAAACAAACAAACCCTGCCTTCAAAGAGTTTTCATTCTAGTGAAGGAGACAGACAACAAACAAATAAGCAGAACCTACAGTACATAAGGTAGTGGTAAAGACTGATGTTTTAAAAAGTAAGCAGGAAAGGGAGCTATAGGGTCACAGGAAGGGGCTAAAGTGGTGAGCCCGGTGGCCAGGGTGGACCTCTCCAAGAAGGTGACTTTGGAGGAAGATCTGAAGGGGTGAGAAAGACAGCTACGCAGAAATTGGGGGAAGAACCTTCCAAGCAGGAACAGGAGCATGCCTGGCATGGCCAAACAACACCAAGAAGACAAGCATGGCTAGAGAGTGAACAAGATGGGGGACAGTAAGAGACGACGTCAGAAAAGGAGTCATAGCATCCAGGGTCCCTGCAGGTGGGAAAGACGGAGATGTGAGCTGGCTCCACTCTAACAGGACCACTCTGATTGCTGTGCAGGAAGGACAGTGAGGGCCAAGGGGGACACAGGGAGATGATGAGGCTTCTGCAGGAATCCAGAGAAGACAAGGATGGCTTAGACCGGTTAAGGCAGTGGAAAAGTGGCTTATCTTGGAAGGTAGAACGAACAGGATTTCCTTGGACTGGAGGTAGATATGAGGACAAGAGAAAAGCCCTGGACCGCTGTCACATTCTTGGCCTGAACACCAAGAGGAACAGAGTTGCAGGGATGGGTCAGCCTACAGGAGGAGCAAGTTTGAAGGGGGAAAGACCAGGAGCTCAGTTCTGAATAACAGAGAGCAGGCAGTCTGATAGATTCATATGGGTGTGATATTCATAAGAGAGGCCCAGGTAGAGGTTGAGCTTTAGAAGTCATTGTCATAGAAATGATGTTTCATTCCTAAGCAGATGAGCTCTCCAAAGAAATAAGCGCAGACAGAGCAGACAGGAGTCCCACGGTCTCAACCCAGGACCTCCAATGTTCACAGGTTGGGAGTTGAGGGAGGAGATGGAGAAACCAGAAAAGGAATCAGAAAAGACCAGTGAGGTGGGAGAAAAAACAGAAGAGGGGTGTCGTGGCAGCCAAGAGAAGAGAAGGTTTTGAGAAGAGACTGGTCAGTATGTCAAATGCTGCAGACAGGTTAATCAGATGAGAACTGGGAATGGAGCCCTAGATTTAACAATCTGAGCAGCAGGTACGCAGGCATTGCTATGTTACTTTCTGTACTTTTGAGTATGTTAAAATATTTCACAATTTAATATAAAAATGTTAATGAGGAGGGAGAGGAGAAGGAGAAGAAAAAGGGGAGGGAGAGAAGGAGAGATAACCTTTAATGGGAAGGTTATCTCTAGAATCAGATTCGTGGAAGTACGTTGGTATAGTTTGTTTGGATTTTTCTCTTATTAAGGAGGGTGAAAGAAGGGATGGAGAGAGAACAGAAGAAGAAACATAGGAATGGAGATAGGGAGAAGGAGAGGAGGAGCAGCGGGGGGTGGAAGGATCATGGTAGTAATCAAAGAAAGAAGGAAGAAGAAAACTTGAACTCCATGATGCCAAGGCCAAAAGCAGGAAAATGGAACATTTGAGTTCCTAGCCAGGGCCTCCTGAATCAGCCAAGCAAACATGTTTAAGGAGATCCATCAATCAATCTGTGAATTGTCTGATATAACTCTCCTCTGCAGTGAAAAGTGCATACATGGCTCTCCTGGTTGATGCATAGAACAACGTTAGCATCAGAGTCAACGCAGACCAGTCAGCTACCCCTCAAAGCTACCCAGGGTGAGGAAGAGGAGAATCTTTGCCAGTTGCTCTCCTTAATTGAATTTAATGTTCACGGTCAGGTTTTAAAGATTAATTCCCAAACACTGCAGCAGCCTGAAGTGTCTGCCTTTTTTCAATTAAGTAATTAGAGATCCCAAACTGCCTTCATGGAATTAAGGAGTTAATTCTTCTGTCAAATGTTCTAAGATGACTTGATGTATTAACTAGAGACATTCTAAATGTCCAACAAAAGTAATAGATTTGAAAAGAACATGACAAGGAAAACGTGTGCAATCACTCAGCCATCCCACATTTACCATGGTTTCCACATCCCAGTTACCAAGACATGGCCCCATCAGGAGTTCCTGAATCTCCTAAGACTGGGAACAGCACCTATTGCTTTACCCACAGGTAATGTTCTTCCTGCCTGCCTGCATTTTCTTTTTGACTATAAAAGAAATACAATCTCCTGTAAAATATTCAAACTACACAGAAGTACAAAAAGCAAAATCCCACAGGAATCA